AAGAAAGATGGGATACCACTGCATAAATATTCTATTATTAATTTGTTTCAGAATTTTGAATGGAGGATTTCGTTTAATTAACTGGCACTGTACAACAGTACGTCTAAGAGACGGAATTGTATCATGAAGACGTGGACAGCATTCTTACTGTCTCTGAAAGTAAGTTGGAGGCAGGAAACGTATTGAAGAAGTTCACCTGATGCCGTGTTGATGTTAACTTCCCATCAAAACACCAAGGGGTTTATAGAGTTAAACTCCCTAGTGATTTTCTAGCTGAAATGAAGGGGACAGTGGATACCATTTTTTGGCGGCTTTCTTCAGATCCAGAAATAAAGGAATCTAGTTACAATATTCTTCATCTGTTCTCACATTATATATAAATAAGAAATAAGTGTCCTGAAGGAAATTTTATCCAGTATTTGATGTTGTAAAAGGCACATGTATAAGTATTGTAAAGAAATGGGAGAGAATATAATTCTCCTATGCATTTTAGTGAAGCCTGTGTATGGTAGTGTTTCATTTGATGAAGATGATACAGAACTAGCACAGTGGTTAGGACTCTCGCCGACCATGCACATGGTCCGGGGTTCGATCCCCTGCCGGCGCACACCCGATATCTATGGTCGGCCTGAATTTGGGCTACCGATATCCATGCTGAAAATTCCATACTTGTACTGAAAAATACGGTGTGGAATCAAGCTGTAAATCAAAATCAAAATCAAGCAGTCAAATAAAGAGTTGTCAATGTTGGTAGAAGAATCTGTTGCACTGCCTAGCTAATAATCTTCAGCACCAGCCAGCAGGTGCTTCAATGGTCTGGGAGTTAAAAGATAGAGGAAAATTATAGCTCAAGTGAATTATATTATAGTATTTGAGAAATACCAGTTGTCAGGTGTGACACAGAGCTTCAGGACCATATCTCAACTTTACTTCTTCCTGTGTGATGTGTTTCATCAGGCCCCACGAACACCCACTGGCTCTCATCTGTTTCCCTAACTATTTCCAACATGTCACTCCCGGAGGCGTAACTCGTCGCTTCATATTCAGGTTCCACTCGAGGGCCTGCTTTACGCGTGATGTCACTTGAAGCTCTTGTCAGCATATTTCTAGTCCATATTCGTCTCCTTCTGTATATTCGCTGGGCGACGGTTTCTTCACGGGTTCTTTGTAGTGCTAGAGTTTCTGGATGTTTGGGGTTCTTAGCTTGCTATGCGGTCTTCACTACCGAGCCAGGCAAATCATTAGTTGATGAGTGTCTGTAGCAAGCTGATGGAAATGTTTTCGGGAAGCACCGATCCCCTTAGAGCATACAGAAGTACAGTCGTGACCGACCCTGACAATGGAAATTCAGATATTGTTAGCAGTAGATTTCCACAATGATGTGTCTCACTTTTCCTTTTCTGGCTCTGAAATCCTCACCCGTGCCGCCTGTAATTCAAACAACAGCTTCTCAACAAGTAAAAGATGTGACTTTCCTGCTGTTTAATGGTGATTTCTGTTGGTTGTTGTAATCTAGGTGTCTTTATCATCTCCATAATAATAATGTGCTTTATTCCGCAACAGTACTAATGTTACAGTGTGGAATTTTTAGCATTTGTTACGTTATTGCATCTCATCTTATATCAAATAATATTAAAAAAAGTTATAGACAGTGGTTAGGACTCTCGCCGACCATGCACATGGTCCGGGGTTCCATCCCCTGCCGGCGCACATCCAATATCTATGGTCGGCCTGTAAATTTGGGCTACCGATATCCAAGCTGAAAATTCCATACTTGTACTGAAAATACGGTGTGGAATCAAGCTGTAATCAAAATAAAAAATTAAAATAAATATAACAGAATTGCTAGTGACACTTCTTATTTGGTATTAGTGGTGACAGTGAGACCATAAACAAACAGGAAATTGTTAAATAATGATGAAAATAGTGATTGTAGTTGAGGTTATCAGTCAATTATATCGAACAACATTAAAAACAATTTTAGGAATAATATTACAGGATTGGTAATGACGGTTCTCACATGGTATTTGTAGTGACAGTGAAGACATTTGCATATATACACAAAAAATTGCAAATTATAGAAATAAGGTTAGCAGCTAAGATGGTCAGTTAATTGAGATATTGTCACCAAAGATTACAAATAGAAGATAATAAAAGAGCCAATTATTTAGCTGATAACATGCCCGAGATAGGTGGGAAGGTTTGACAAGGAGTTAGGGAGTCCACTCTATAAAATCAATCAGTTCGGTACAAAATCTGCAAAGCACAAAAATATGTGAAAAATAAACTTGTAATTTACTCACTAATGGGGTATGTTTCCTTACTTATTTTCCATAGAATTCTGTTGAAGAGTTCTACTCATATTCTACAAATCCATTCAATCCTCCTTCACTCACATTACTGGCTTGTTTCAATTCATTTTAGTTAACCAAGATATTGTTAGAAGAAGAGAGGAGATTTTCTTTATGGATTACGTGATTTGTAGACGAGTCATTCGATCCAAATCTACATTGAAAGTGTTGTTAGAGGGTTTCCATATCTTAAACTTGTATTTGATTGGTGTAAAATAACCACATCAATAGCTGCGACTTCTGGTTTGATTGGCATTTCCCTGATCCACTTTATCCGAAGACAGTATTATGACTTCAAAATAATTTCAAGAATGGTGCCTAAACAACTCTTCGCTATAGTCGCACTATCAAGATCAACCAAGACATCACGAGGTAGGCATTCTCCACCAGTCACTTCACAGCGGTACATGCTAATGAGTTCTATCTGTAGATTGAAATCACCATGACAGTAGCCTGTTAAATCAATCATCAGATACAACTTCATAAATTTACCTCTAATCTGATTACCACACTCTCCAACTTGAATGTATACAATCTCATGTATCTGTACAACCTACAAACCATAAGCGGATTAAAACGCGGTGGTGAGTTGCAACGGATTGCTCTCTTTCTAAATACAATAGATTTTAGCATTCTCGTTCAGTTTCCTGTGTCGTTTTTAGTGTGTGAATAGTTTTCGAGTAATCATTCGTACATTACTGTGTGTTCAAATAGCAGTAAGAACGAAACTAAATACAATATTACCCCTTATACAACGAATATGTAGGTAATCTATCCGTTTATCATCGTCAAATTTATCATTATCATTTCTTCAGACTTGTGATTTCACCTTGATTTATATACCGACCAAAGTGACCAGCCTTATTTGGAATATCGGTTCTACGAGGAGTCAGCTCGAAATAACTGTTATTATTAGTAATCTGAAATTACTTGCTCGACCCGGTGGTTTCGAGTCTCAGTAGAAACACTTGACTGTCAGAATTTATCGCCTGTGTTCTTTGTGTCTTCTACTTGTCAGTGAAGTTGAAATGATCATCGATGAAAGGTGTTCCCATACACTGATCATTGTTGGTTATCATTGATAGAGTGCATCTACGTGGTTGTACATGAGCTGGAAATGCATAAAAACAAGTTAGTGGAATAAGGCCACTAGTGAATACCGAAACTTATCGAGACATCATTTTCGTTGATATGGCTCACTGAAATAAGATGGCTGCTAACACAATCCCGTTTGTCATATTCACATATATAATATTGCACAAAATTATATTAACGAGATTCTGAAGTATTCATCAACGCTCTAAAACTGAAAAAGAAGTGGTAATTAGATGGTGAGCTACGGATCATGGCGTATCAGAGATGGTTTGACAAATGACACCACCTGTCGAGAGACTGATGAGTCTAATACTGTGTTGGAAACACTAGACATCAAGCAAACAAGCAGTTATTCACTGCAATTGATGAGAGATAGGCGTAAGGATTCATTCTACAACTTAGGAAACTCTCAGCTCTACTCAAGAAACTTTGCCTACAGTTAGTACAACACGTCACAGGAAACCTGTCAACATCACTTTCACAACCAGTGGATCTCCATCTCCACAATAGGTTTTAAGTTTCTAAATTCCTATTGTGACTCCTGTATGTCTGCTTAGCAGCCTGAATGTCTATCTAACTCTGAATACCTACGTAAACTTCGATGCTCACATTGAGTGAAACGCTGTGGAATGACCTTCAGAATTAAGACCATTAATAACACTCCATTTAGTTCAACAGACAACCTACACCCATACCTTATACATGTTGTCGACCAATCAGTACACGATACCACGAGATAAACACACACATTTATAGTCCCGATGTTGTGAAAGACAAATGAAGGTTACTACCATTAACAGTAAGATAATAGTAGGTGCTTTATTCCAAACAGTACAATTTCATTGTTGCCATGGCTCAGTATATCTTGTTGACGCTTATATGTCTGATAATAATTTCGCCATCACTAACTTTGATACCCAAACCAAACAAATATCACCTGAAGGATAAGAAATACTGTAACCTCCTTGAACATGTGCCAATTGAACATAAATATCCAACATGCTTTATATTAATGCAAGCTGTGAGACGATTCAAAGAACGTCTGAATGCAAAAGACATACCACCACCAGACAAATATAAAGATACCTGCTTGATAAATGCAATCGAGATAAACATCGCTACAGGATGTGATGAAAGTGAATCCGTTCTCCGACCATCTCACTCAATGGATGAATCATGTAAGCAGATACAAGATTAAACGAATGAACATGTAAAGATAAGATTGATCTTCAGATAAACACGTTGTATATAACATCGACTGAAGTTTGGGGAGTCCTTCATGCATTAGAAACTGTACTCCAGAATGCATACAACGATGAGTGGAGTTTTGTAAGTAGTAATTGAAGCCAAGAAAATTACTTTTCAGAAATTAATAAAGAATGCCTATGTGGAAGATGCACCGAGATTTCCACATCGTGGACTCATGCTAGACACATCGAAACATTTCCTCACCATCGGAGAAATGCAAAAGTTCATTGTAAGTCATCATTCACCTCCCTTTACTCGAGGGAGACTTGAAACACTAACACACTCACACACACTTGCACATTTCAGGATGCAATGGCTATGGTGAAAATGAATGTTCTACACTGGCATATCACAGACACTGAATCATTCCCATTCGTCTCCTCCACATATCCTGATCTGTCAAATAAGGTAAGACTAATCACTTGTTGAATTTTATTCAGCTCACACCACAACTGCAGGGTGCATATCATCCTGAGGCGTACGTGTACGAGCGTAATGAGATAGTTGATTTGGTGGAGTATGGGCGTGTTCGTGGAATTCGAATAATTCCGGAATTCGATACACCAGGTGAGTATGCGAGTAGTCATCACGCTGACATTTGCATTTCGTGATTTATAATTGAAACTTGCAATGATGAGTGATTTACATGACATAAGTGATATACAGATTGTGAAATTCTCAACACGATTACTCAAAACGAAGGAAATGTACTAAGAACAGACAAGAGTGATCAGAATGTAACTGAAATGCGCGGAATTTGAAGGTCTTGGAATATTTGCAAGAGGATGAGGGACTAAGAGACTATGAAATCGTCAATATTATTCCGTTCTCATCCGGAGATTGGGGCAAATACAGACTGACAGAAGTGATTAGAACGAGATCATTCTTTCGACAGACTGAAACCACTCAGGATATCTTTAAGATTTGGGCACTGTAGTTGTAGGTAATTCCATATTAGTTTGTTTATTAGATATACCCCACAGTGAGTGAAACAGTATTATTTACTTACAGTAATTTTCAGTTCATGAAACTGTATTTGATCTGAGAGAAAGATACTTCCAATGTTGTCATGTCACTGCAATTTCGATAAATTTTAATGTTGTACAGTTCAGTGATAAAAATAATCTTTCTCAGATAATTTCTCTCCATTACTGTCAACATCAGTAATCATCCACATCACATATTTCATCTGTCCCATTTCACAGCACATACACAGTCATGGGGAAATGGTTATCCCGATGTACTCACTCCCTGTCACACTCAAGACGAAGAAGGAAATCAGATACTTGGTCCCATCAATCCAACCAATCTCACCTTCATTCAGAACTTGTACCAGGAAATTCTCAGTGTATTTTCTGCTGACAACCACGTTCATTTGGGCGGTGATGATGTGGATTTCACATGCTGGTGAGTTCTCACTAATATGATTATCCTGCACCGTTCCACTGATTCACTCAATCAATGCATTCTTCACATACTACTCACAATTATAGATCATTAAAATTAATCCCAGCTTGTTTAAGAAAAAATCAAAACAAGATCTGATTTCTGAACGTTTCGCCGTGTCACAGCTTCTACAGCAGATTTATTCGGATTTTATTAATTAATCATTAAAATATATCGTCAAAAATGTTTTACATAAATTGAAGTCAGTTTATTTGAAGGTCACTTGTCCATAGACATTTCTACCAATAGAAATATGTGAGCAGTCATCACATATTTGTAATGACTAATGTCAAATTGTTACTGGACCTTAAGGATTAGTTTTGTATGAGTAAGTGTGTGAGTGTTTGTTATTTGTTATTATATGGAAAAGACGTCAACTCGCAAGTGATAAACATGATAATACATTTTTTAAGGATCATGGCGGCTCATAGAGGGTTTTGTTGTTTTTTTCATCTGTCTTGCTTCATTAGAGTTTGCCATATAGGTGATAAGTCTATCCCTTCTTTCCTATTTACAGCATTCAATGTGGTTAAAATGTGCAAGGCTTCAGAGGTCAGCCTTCCTTTATGTGAATAAAATCCTCTTCCAAGTATTTCGACTTTGTCGAAATAGATCTTATGTCCGCTGTCCATAGATAGCATGCATTGCTCCAGCCGATCTTTTTTCTAGACTTTTTAATTCGACTTCATTTCTAGGTGGATGTTCCGTGCATAGTCTATGTTCATTCACTCTGACCTTCACTTGTATACTGCTCTCCCCTGCCCTGCATAGCATGCTTCACATTCTGAACATTTTATCCTATAGACACAATTACTTTGTGACATTTTGAGAACCATATCTTTGACATTCACCAAAGCCTTCTCTAGAGAATTAGAGGGCTTGAAATAGACTTTAATATTAAAGTGAAGTAAATAGTCTTTGAAACTGTTCAGTTGTGTCCTTTCGATATGGAATGGCTATCATCCATAGCCAGGATTTTCCAATTTTCTGATTTCCCTCATGCTCCTTTTAATTCATAATATTATCTAGTAGCTTTCCCAAATAACCATTTCCAATCAAAATCTGTTTTATAAAGGAGATCTCGTTCTCCATATCGTCATTATCTGTTATAATGTTTCTAGCTCTCTTAACGAGATTTAAAGCTACCGAAACTTTCATTCCCATCGAATGATCTGATTGGAAATTCAAATACTTGTTGGAATGTGTCGGCTTTCTGTATAGGGTAAACTTTAGTTTCTCGTCAGTTTGTCTTTTTACAAGACAATCCAGAAAGTTTAGAGTTCCCTCAGCCAATTCTACTTCATTAGCAAACTCCATATATTCTGAGATGAAGTTAATCTCTGTTAGAAAGTTTTCTTTTTCAGCTTTCTTTATGATGATAAATGTGTCATCTACATATCTGTACCATATTCTAGGTTGACAACTAAAACTTGTTAGTGCTTTTCTTTCTAGAGATTTCATACATAGGTTTGCGACAATTGGAGATCCTGGTGATCGATCCCATTGCAACTCCATTTGTCTGACAGTATAGTTTGTCTTTACAGGTAAAATATGCAGATTCTAAACAAAGTTTGAGCATTTTATAACTTTCTCTATTGATAATGAAGATTTAGCTAAGACTTCCTGATTGTTTTCAAGTTCATATTTCACAATATCAAATGACTCACATATAGGAATCACTCACTGGGGAATGCAGGTACATCCAGTGACGAGTCCCAAATAGGACGAAATGCGCTTTATCCTGGATTCCACTACTAGCCTCCATCCACCAATTAAATATATTTTGATGATTGATGAAATCCGAATAAATCTGCTGCAGAAGCTGTGGCTTACACAGTGAAACGCTCAGAAAACAGATCTTGTTTTGATTTTTCCTTACGTCGGTCATCTAACTTTGGTCGGTATACTCGTCTCTCATACGCAATAGCAAAAGATTTCCTCATTATTCCACTCTCGTTTCACAGGAAGTCCAATCCCGACATCACAAATTTCATGCAGGAGAAACAATTCAACACTGACTACTCACAGTTGGAAAACTACTACATGGAACAACTTGTAGAAATTGTCAAATCGTCATCGTCGGCATCTGGATCTGCAATGGTTCCGATTGTTTGGCAGGATGTATATGAGAATGGATTTCGTGTAAGTCTGTATTGGTAATATTGATACCGGTCAGACACTAATTTCTCTATCATTTGGTATTTCGCATGAACATGCGGTGTGGCATATTGAACTGGACTAATGATCTCATATTAAAATACCGAGTGTCTGCACCATTCCTAGTCACATTTCTATTCTAACTTACAGATTGAGGATTAGTGTCTCTGTTCATTCACTTGTAATGAAAATTCAGAGTGTTGAGTCTATCAGTTGAAGTTAGTGATACGCATATAGATTGGTCGTCTTTGAGCGGAAACACTGAAATGAAGTCACCCGCCAGTCTCACTACACAAATCTAATGCGAGACGAATTGTTTGACGAAAATTATAGAATATATATTCCCTACGATAGAGTGTAAATGCATGGTAGAATAATATATTTTGATGCAAAATTGTGACCATAGTGCATTGTGTATTGAAGTGGGATATTTGAAGTAACCTGAATGGCACTGGTAATCACAGAGTGTGAATTATTCATTAAACTGAACATACTCCTGTATCTTGCAGTACATATGATGCATAGTGAGCAGAAACCAAAGAGACTACAATCTCTTATTATTCACCCAGGATCTCTTATTCAAGGGTTCAGAAGAGATCCTCGTTTACTGCGTGACACCATACATCAAAATCCTGATCACTGATGAGCAGAAACATCGAACACCATTCATCATTCACTCTGTGAAATACTTCTCAGTGTTGTACTCAATTGTGTCAGAGTCTGATGTGTCCCCATCTACTAATAACTAACTGGCTCACGCCACCTAATCCCCATCAATCAACACAATCAACATTCGACCGACTGACTGACTAACTGACTGACTGGCGAATTCTTCTTCTGTGTTTAGAGTGACAAGGATATGATTGTTCAAGTGCACAAATCTGAAGGATGGAAGGAGAGTGTTGAGGAGATCACGGGAGCGGGATTCAAAGTTCTCATATCGTCGTGTTGGAATTTCAGTGATGTGGGTGTTGGAGATGACTGGCGAGCGTTCTACGAGTGTGATCCCTTGAATTTCGAAGGTAATTCCGAGTTGTTGCAGTGTTGAAATTATCTGAGATACCATCTGTTTGATTTGATTTTGATTCAGCCAGTTAAATATTTGTGAAATTTATTAGGTTCCTCGACGAATCAAGCATCTGTTTTCTCTTTTACTTCGAATGTTTGAAATGTAAATATTGCGACAGTAGTATTATTCAGGTGTGTAGAATAATATTTTTGTCAATCCAGGTGCAAGTCGTCCTACGCTACCTACTATGGAATTTTCTGAATTATTGCATTTTGTACAACATGGAAGCTAGACAGGTGCATTTATATCTGAGTTGTCCATGTCAGCACAACAGGCGACTCGGATGACAGCCTAATTCGACAGAAGGCTGCATGGCTCACTGTAGATCACATTTAACATTTCCTCGGTGTGTTTCAAGTGATGACTGTGATGTATAGGTGTTCAGCGCAACAGCCCTTCACAAGCACTACTTGTCTTAATATTTTCAAAATAAACACGTCATCAGCAGCAGATGACTTTCAAACACTTCAAAGTGGTGATGATTTGTAGTTGTGACTCTCATCCGTCAAAAAATCTCTGTTGTCACAATCACCCATCTCAATCATCACTGTGAGGTTACAATGAATGAATTCGGATTTATACATACAAGTGAACAGATATCTAAGCTGATCTTATCACAGTTCTCTGAGATTATCCTGCCTCATTTCCAGTAGGAAGTTTTCCGGAATATGTGAGAAATATTTTTGATTGTGTAAGAATAGGAATCCCTCATCCAAATCAAAGAGCCACGTGGACA